GGAGGAAGAACAGAGTTAAATGCCATTTTCATCACATCATATGTAGAATACATATTATAAAATTGATTTATCACTATTTATGTTGACCTTGATCCAGTCTGATAAAGTATTTGTCAGGTTTCTCCATTGTAAGGTGCTCTTCTGTCCCTCCCCCCTTTCCATACTATTATTTCTGAAAGGAAGTTGTTTTGTGTGGTCCATATTTAAGGAGTGGGGAGTCATGATCCCCCTTCTTAAGGGTTGAGTAGTCTATAAAATTATTTAGAATTCTTCTGCATGGGAGAATGTCTCTTCTCCCCCATTTACTTATTTTTATCAATCTAGATTCATGATACTTATTTTATACTTAGATTTATAATCCAGTACTACTATTTTGTTGTTCAAATGGTTCCAGCTTTGGCCATTGGGAATCGCTTAGTTGGCTTCTGTGTATCCTCGACATACCATCATTATTGTGGATTTTTTTTAGGACTTCCTTACTTTCAGCACTTACAAGGTGTTATAGCTCACTGTGTATATTTCTTGCCCCCAGTTCTAGAATCAGCCATTTCTCTAAGAAGCCTTGTGTATATACTATTTTATCTCATGATATCTCATGAGAAACTTTATTCTAGATCCCAACACTGGATCCTAATAATCCCATTTTTCTCCTCTTACCCAACTCTCTCCTAGTTTTTTTTTTATCTTCTCCCTGGATAGCTAATGAGGTATGAGAGTAAAAGATTTCCTTGTCTTGGGATCAATGATTGCTGCTTTCAGTCCACCAGGGAAAGTGGAATTACCCCTGCAGCTGCAGCGAAGCTCTTCTTTGGTTGATTAGTTTTGGCTTTATTTTTGTTTTTTGATATCTGGTGTTAGGGACTGCTAAGGGAGGGTTCTACGGGATTGTGAAAGGAAGGAGAGACCCATCAATCTTTCTGTATAGGCATTCCTCAGAGACATATCGGGTTCTAGTCCAGACCACTATGATAAAGCGAGTATTGCAATAAATGGAGTCATAATCTTTTTGCTGGTGGAGGGTCTTGCCTTCAGTTTGTAAAAAACATAATACCTGTGAAGTGAAATAAAGTGAAGCTCAGTAAAATGAGGTATGCCTGCATTCATACTTTCAAGTTTGTTATGATATCTCGGTATGGGTCAGTGAGCAGAAGCACCTATCTCCAGGTCTAAGGTCAAATATGACTGCACATTCCTCTAAATGATTAATTAAATATGATCTTCCAGAGAGTAATTTTCATTTTCTTTTGGAATACCTAGAATTTAACAACCACCACCACCGCAACTGAAAAAAATAGTTTGTATAGCAGATATATAGAACTGAAGGGAAGAGAATTAAACCAAGGGTGAAAACCAGTTACAGAGTGGTAGTATCAGTAGCATTTCCCCATCCCCAGTATTGCCTAGTTACAGTGATGGTAGTTTTATTCACCAAGAACTTTACTACTTTATAGAACTTAGAACATTTCTAAATATATTATACTAGAGGCCCGGTGCATGGGATTTGTGCACTGGTGGGGGGCATGGCCTGTGGGGATCGGCCTACTGTGGCAGCGCCACTCATCCCAGTCAGCTGATGGCTGTGGACCCGCCCTCTGAGTGTGGCTGCTCCTATTGTGGGAACGCTGCTCATCCTGGTCAGCCAAGCAGCGCTACCACTGTGGGAGCACACTGGCCACCAGGGGGCAGCTCCTGTGTTGAACGTCTGCCCCCTGGTGTTCAGTGTGTGTCATAGCAACTGGTCGACCAGTCGTTCTGGCCATTCCACTTTTTGGTCGCTGGGCTTTTATTATATAGGATGGTTTTTGTAAAGTATTTTAAGTAAAAGTTTTAATAAGTGCTGTGAATTGATACTGTAATGGGTATATTCTGTTTAACTATTTTGGGGTAACCCATTTCAGCCTTTCTTTCCATTCTAGAAAACTTGTGGTATTCTACCAGTTAGAAACAGTTGGAATGCCATGCAGTTTAGAATTGTTGACTCATTCATTCTTATTGTTAAGTGTCAACAGATCTATTTATAACACTAAATTTATTATCTGTATTTTATCAGTGTCATAATAGTTTTAATTATGAGATTTTGTAAAGGATCATTTAGTCCCTTGCAGTAAAAATTCACTTTTGTCCAGTACAGGTGGTTTTCTGTGTTTGTTTGCTTTAAAACAATTTCCCAATCTTTTCAGATATAATGTCTTTCATAAGGTGAAAATTTTCATAATAGTCTCCTGCCCCATAATATCAGTTGTATTTTCTATTTTTATTCATTGACTATATAAAATAAGATAAAATTAATGATATGCATGAATATATTGAGTTCATGATGTGCAAGCAAACAGTTAAGGAGGAAGTGAACAACATTGAATGAATGTCTGCTATGTACCAGGCACTGTGTTATTTTCCCATTTCTCATAATAGCCCTGTGAAGTTAGATGTTACTTTTTACCATTTTCATTTAAGAGAACTGAGGATCAAAGAGGTTAATTAACTATCTCAAGGTTATACAGCTAGTAAGTGGCAGGATTGGATATGAAACTAATTTTGACTCCAAAAGTTCTTAACCATATTGCTGCTCCATCATTTAGATATCAGAAATTGAGGAACTGCAACTTAAAGAAATGGTTTATAGTCTTAGTACTTGTGATAATTTTCAGAGTCTTCAGTTGCTTCAAGGTATGTTTAAGAATTCTTAAACTTCAAAGCAGAGATCATTTTATTTTACCCTAACTCAAAAAGGAAGGAAAGAATACTGTGTAATGAAATTTAAGCTGTAAGCATTACCTTTCTAAGAAATTGCTGCCTTAAAGTAAAATAGGCTTTTGTGAGAGAGTAAAAGCAGTTTTCAGAAATTGGGTGATTTCCTAAGAAGAATTAGCAAAGCTACAAAGTGTTGCAGGTAAGGTGTACATCAGATGTAGGCCAAGAGAGTTTAAGGGATACTTGCTAAGGACTTCACAGTCAGTATGATAAAAGTCTGTAGAAGTACATGATAGGGAGGAGGCTAGCTAGAGATGCAGCCAGATCAGGTACAAGGATAAAAAGGGGGGTACCAAAGATCAGTGCATTTGTTTTCATTGAAGAGTGCCAGGAGGAATTTGTTTTTAAAGTTTCTTTTAAAGTAGACAGAAGTTTTTCTGACTTGAGAACTTACAAATTATTAGGCTGCTTTGACCAGGTAAGATCTTCCCAAGATTTTTCTAATAATTTATTTTTCTCCTGAATTTTTGTTGTTGTTGTTTTAATCCTTACCTGAGGGGTTTTTTTTTTTTGTCATTGACTTTGGGGGGAGGAAGGAAGAGAGAGGTTGAGAGAGAGACATCGATTGCTTACCTTTTCCATGTGCTTCAACTGAGGCCCGGGATCAAACCTGCAACCCATGTACCAACCCTTGGCTAGGAATCTAACCCAAGACCCTTTGGTGCAGGGGCTGATGCTCTAACCACCGAGCACACAGGCCAGGGCTTCTTCTCATTTTAAAATAAACTATATATATAAAAGGCTAATATGCACAGTGTCCCCTTGGGAGTTAGACTGGGAGTTCGATCACTCATTATGATGTGTGCTGACCAAGAGGGGGCAGCGCGGAACATGGTGGGCGACCAGCAGTGGTGGCAGGGCGCTGAGGGAGTGAAGGAAGGTGGAGGTGGGGAACTGCACCGTGGTAGCACACGGGTGGCGAGGGAAGGAGGAGGCGGGGAGGCAGGGAACCTGATCGGCCAGGCCTAGGGACCTTACCCATGCACGAATTTCGTGCAGTGGGCCTCTAGTCTACACTAATAAAAGAGAAACATGGTAATTAGCGTACGACTGCTACCCTTCCCATTGGCTAATCAGGGAGATATGCAAATTAACTGACAGCCAAGATGGCGGCCGGCAGACAGGCAGCTTAAAGCAAACAGGGAGGCTTGCTTCCTTCAGTGAAGGAGGACTCCAACATTCCCCGCCTGCGCTGCCCGCCTCTGAGCTTCAGTTGGAAACATTGTAAAATTTATAGAAGATAAACAAAACCCCAGAAACCTCCTGTCAGTCAGCCGGGATCTCAGAGCTGGAGTCGCAACATTGTTTTGAATACAGAAAACAAAGGCCAGAAACCTGCTTTCAGCAGCCGAGCCTCAGAGAGAAAGCCGGCTCTCAGCTCCAGTGACAGCCATAGAAGGTAAATAAATGCCAGAATAAAAAAAAAAGAAAAAAAGGAGAAGTTTGGAGCTTCAGTCGCCCGCCAGCCTGAAAAAAGCCCTCAGCCCCTCACCCAGACTGGCCAGGCACCCCAGTGGGGACCCCCACCCTGAAGCAACAAGATGGCGGCTAATTTGCATACTGAAGGCAGGCGGCAGCAGGCAAGGCTGTCTGCAGCCTGGGACCCGGATCTGTGACCCTGCTGGGATCAGCGTGACAGGGGGCAGCGCCCAAACCCCCTGATCGCCCTGCGGCTCTGTGAGTGACAGGGGGCGTGGCCACAACCTCCCTATCCGCCCTACTCTGTTCGTGACAGGGGAAGGCACCCCAACCCCCTGAT